TCAACCCTTAATAGTTAACATTATGTAAACATTTCCAATGTTTTTGTGCTTCTTTGACATGCAATGGACAATACCTTCTGAAGTACTGATTAAGGATACATACATACATACATATATATATATATATNAAAATTATTGTTGCATTAGCATAATACATGAATTCAAAATGAAAGGAAATCATCAGACATAAATGATCGACATTAGTCATGTTAAGTAGATAATTATATGTTGTAGTTTAAAGGTATCTAATGTGATGTTATCTTACCGAACATTTCTTTATAGACGGTGTTTTATTGTATATATTTCCTTCTAATGCTTTGGTTACTCTTTCATAACCAGAACTTTTGTTGTCGATATTGATATCTCTCTTGAAAGTGCAACATATAGTTATTCGTGTAAGAAAACACACTATGGTAAATATAGTCTAATATTTAGGATGTTTGTCTTGTACTTTATTTATTATAACTACAAAACATAAACATACTGAAAATTATTTTCGCACAAATTTAAAAGGATATTCTTTAGTTCCGGAAGACAAAAGTTGAATTCAGGGATAAACACATACATAGTAATACATTGACCAGTATCCTAAGTTCTGCATGTATGACGTTATTAGCAAAACTTCTATATACCATATGTATACTATTACATAAGTTATTCAGTGATCTAAGTTTTCACTAGCATAACAGGCATATTTTTCTTCAACATCAACCTATATGCAATGGAATATCAATTTAACTTAATCTATTTTATATATGGTGACACTAACATACGTACGAAATAATGAACTTGACAACAAACATATACGGTAGAAGGACATTTGGTATTAAAGTATTTAAATATTCTTCTTAGTAGTAAATGTTGGTACCATCTTCTGCTGAGTCTAAACTGAAAAATATTTTGTTTTACCATAAAACTTAGCAATCAACCTTTTATTTAGTTGATCAACATATTCATTTATGCTAGCTAAGATAACTCTTTAATTTCTATCGTGTAATTTGCACAAATTACGTTTTAGTCTAATGATAAAAAAAAATTCCTTATTAAATGCACTACTATTACCATTGGGGTTGATAACCAAGTGTTCTAGAAGAACCAAATCATCTTTTATTGGATGCTCTTCTTCGTTTCCGACACGAAGAAAGAAGTCATTGAATGTTGGATTTGTTCTTACTTTTATATTCTTTGTCATCTGAATATTTTTCATTTGAGATCATAAGTATAATTTTGGCAAGCTAGCTTTTACAGTTTCTGCTTTGGTCAATTTTGGAACTACTGATCGTACTTGACATAAATCAGCTCCCAAACTATTATTTTTCCTCCAAATAGTTCATGGATATCCAATACATCTCTAAAACTCTAGGCGATTGTTTCGATCATTTGACGCTTAGCCAAAAGCGCTTCATCCCATATTATCACTTTTTCTTTCCATATAAATTTAGCATTGTTGCTTTGGTTTGATATATTTGTGATAGTTATTTCAGTTATTTGAAAAAGGTATATCAAATCTAAAGTGAGTTGTAGGACCTCATAATAAAATCGTTACTGGTACACCACTTGTTCTTATTGCTAACAATATCATGCCTCTTGATCTGACATTTACAAGTAATGCATGACATAGGAATATTATTTCGATTCCGTCGGAGGCATCTATAAAGGATAATCCCGCTATACCAGAGTTGACTTTTTATAATGTAGTCTTAAAAGCTTATTTTTGTTTAGGATTTAGCTTTGATTGTGCTTCCTCAAACACTTGTATGGCCTTTTTAATATTATACTAATCTTTTTACTTTGTGATATATTTTTTTAATCTCTAACACTCTTTTTATGGAATAAATTTATGCACCCTAAATTTTTTTTAAACTTGAAAAATAATTTTACTCATATGGTGAATTTTAAAAAAAAAGTAGTAGAATTCTCTTACTAAATAATTAATTAAAAGATTTGATTATTTAGTTTTAACATAAAATATAATTTATTTTCTGTTGATTTGGATTCTTAATATTAGTTCATCTCATGTTTGACTATTTAATTGTAATTATAATTTTATCAAGCATAAATTTTATTTTTAAAGAGTAAAAAGATCAATCTGATATTTCACTTTTAGATATTTGTGTTTGCAAAATCATTAGTGGTATTGGCTCTTACCAACCTTTTTCTTTCTTTTCTCACACATTTATATTCTTAAACAATTTCTTAGTTATTCTTTAATAATTAGGTATATTTTTCTATATTACACGAAAAATTAAAAATAAAAGAATATTATTTGAGTAGGAAGCAGTTCAAATATAATATAATAATATATTATCGTGGAAATTTTTCTCTCGATTTCAATGCTTTATGGGGTCCATTTAGCATTACTTTTATTTTTTTTTGGTATTGAATATTATAAAGTGGTAATGTATTACCAATATGGATGATCCTTCTGAAATTAATTTTATTAAACCTTCCTACGTATTTTTAATAAGAATTCAATAAACAAGATTGTATTAATTTTAAAATCTTAAATATTAAAAAAATTAACATAGAAGTTATTGTAGTACAAAAAATAAGTTATTACAGCTATGTCATTTTTCTATGAGCTCTTCTATTTAATATTTTCGGGCTATTTTGGTCTATCAATATTATAGTCATGCTTTTATAATAACATAGGCTTTCTTGTTTCTAAATGAATTTGGACAATATAATACGTTTTCAAATTAAATTAGTAATAGAAATTTTTTAAGAAGTATATCCTCAAAGTAATAGGATTACATGGCTAAAATTATGTCCATATCCCGAAAGTAATTTTATTAATAGAAAATATAACATTTTCCTAAAGGTATTAGGTTTACATGCTAAGATGTAGTATTATATATTTATGCCCGAAATAATTATACCAATAGGATTACTAAAGGTAATCGTGTAGTATTCCTAACGTGTAGTATTATATCCTAAACCTGATAGGATTATAAGGCTATTGTTTAAAATTCCGATTATGTCCTTTTATTGTGAGTTATTATGCTTAATATTAAAAGGTTATTTTTATAATCCAACATTTTATTCATGCTTTTATAATATATATATACTACGTGAAGGTAGTAAGTTAGCAAGGTATCCATTTTTGCTTTACCCAAAATACCCCTTATAGAAAACAAACAGTGTGTTAATGTGAGGGACTGTTTTGTCCTTTCCCTAAAGGCCACATTCAGTTGTCACGACTTGGATTTTCCACCCTCGGGAGTCGTGATGACACCTACTCATGAAAGCTAGGCAAGCCACGTAATATAGAATTTCTAACTCTTTTAGTTAGCCTTTTTAACAATTTAAATTAACACACGATTAACAATGAAATATTAACAATAAATAAATACAAGCGGGAGACTTAATCTCATAACTTAGCTAAACCAGTATGACAATACCAATATACATCTCTACCTGGAATTCGGTGTCATAATATCACGTACCAACTACGAATACTACATACAAATGTCGGGAAAGAAAAGTACAATCTGTCTCTGAAGTAAATGAAAACAGAATACATATAAAGATAGAAGAGAACACCGGGCATGCGGATGCCTGCAAGACTACCTCGGGATCTCTAACTGGACTGAAGGCAGCCGCCCAATGCTACGGTCCAAAAGCTGCCGCTCCGGGATCTGCACATAGTGCAAAGTATAGTATCAGCACAACCGACCCCATATGCTGGTAAGTACCTGGCCTAGCCCCGACGAAGTAGTGACGAGGCTAGGACCAGACTACCAAATAAACCTGTACAGTTATATAATGTGTAGTGGAAAATAAAACCGGAATAAACAAGTAAAGATGGGAGGGGGTACATGCTGCGGGGGAATATCAATATCAATAGTAAATTAAGAGAAAGGCATAAGGGCAATTTAGAATTTACAATAAAACAATAAGGAACTCACAACCAATCTATAAATACTTTGTATTATCAATTGTTGCGGCATGCAACCCGATCCCAAAATATAATAATACTGTTGCGGCGTGCAACCCGATCCATATCATTTATCACTGTTGCAGCGTGCAACCCGATCCAAACATAATATTGTTGCGGCGTGCAACCTGATCCAAATATAATATTGCTGCGGCGCGCAACCCGATCCAAATATAATATTGCTGTGGAGCGCAACCCGATCCAAATATAATATTGCTGTGGAGCGCAACCCGATCCACATATACAGTTCAACACCAAACACAACAAGAGTCCCGGCAAGGGATCAATGAAGAAACAACCCTATCCTGGTAAGTGAATCGACAGTATAAGTAAATACGTCTCGGCAAAAGGAAAATCAGCTATAACCAAACTTGTTCCAAAATCCAACTACCTCAACTAGCACCAATACCCAATCATAAGTAATTTCTACGAGAATTATCATAATCCTTACTCAACACAGAGAATCAACAACTTAGGCATTCGTAGTATTTATTAAGGACACAACAATTTCAATTTAAGACTCACGGTCATGCTTGACACCAATGTATAGATACTCGTCACCATGCCTATACGTCGTACTCAACAAGTAACATGTAGCAAATAGGACACAACTCCTAATCCCTCAAGCTAAGATTAGACCAAACACTTACCTCGAACTTTCACGGCCAACTTAAGCCTCAAACACCACTTTTCCTTTTGAATTTGGATCCAAATCAATTGTATCTAGATATAATTGACTTAATAACATCAATAAACGCTAAATAATCTAATTCCAATGCTCAATTATAGATTTCTTATCGTTCTTCCCAAAAAGTAAAAAATCGACCCCGGGCCCGCTTTGTCACGACCCATTTTCTGAACAAGCCGAGACCGAAACTCGATCACTAAACATGACCGAGCAAACCATCTCTGCTTATCAACCCTATTATAACTCCAAACTTTATATGCAACAAAGCAATACTCTAAACAAATACTCTTGATTAATTCAGATATTTAAATAAATCAACTCCAAAGCTTTATTCGTAGTAACTACTGAATTACTGCTAAGTTATTATAAAATAACATATGAATCTCAACCCAATGACTATGTCTATGAAGCCTCTACTGATAAACTGACGCACTGCTCAGGATATGAGATTTTCTGGCCAATTCTCTAAATAAACAAAGAAATAGCTAAATGAAAATGACTCTAAGAATACTCCACGAACAAAAGCGGAGCTCACCAATATCACTGGAAGGGAAGGAAGTCCTAACTCGTAGCCTGCTCGCCTGCAAATCCGGTTCCTACGTTGTACTGCAGACCAACGTAGGTTCCCAAAAGAGAACGTCAGTACCATCCACTGTACTCAGTGAGTCTCAACAACAGGGGGAGAAACTTTAATAACATATACATTACGAGCAAAGGTTCTAAATGCATGTAAAACATAAAGCTTATAAGAATAATTCTAAAATAATTGCATAATAGCAATTTATGAATATTCTAAAAGAAATTCTTTTTTTTTTCTTTCTTTAAAAAAAATACTTCACTTTATACTTTGGGAGTTCCAACTATCCTGACTTAATTCTGTCTCAGTCACCGTGTGATCGGCACGGGTTCGATCCCAACCTGATCGAATAGGCCCAATCCACGAGGTGTCACTCGCTTCATGGTTCTCAGCGCTCATGTATCATACCTTAGCATGGCTAAGTAAATTCTCAGCAACGAGACCCTCGGCTTGTATGCTCCCTACTTTAGCACAAGTAGTTTCAGGAAGTCAACGCCTTGGTCAGGACCCTCGGCCTGGACGATGACCCCTTCTCAGAATAAAGGATACTCCCCAAAAATNTTTTCTTTCTAAAACTTCTTCTTGTGACTTTTCAAGTCTAAATCTTTTCTTTATAGAACATTAGGTACATGCTCATATTGGTGTCCTTAAATGTAAAGCATGTCATAAGAATGAAATAAGCATATAAAAATATTTCCAAAGATTCTTTCTTCTTCATAATTTTCAACATGAAAATAGCATTAAGAACAACACAAAAATCTGAAAATTTAAGCACATATAGCATAATAGATCATCTAAACTTTTGCTAGAACAATTCTAAATTAATGGGTACTCACTCGCTCTAATTAAATAAAGATAAACTCTTTTAAGCAATTCATCAAACACCTTGTATGCGTGCTTTTGTGAGTTAAACCACTTTAGTAAAGGGTTATATCAACTCACCTCAAAACTCCTTGAGCCAATAGGTAGACCCCAGTCCAATTTATACCCGTCAAACAATCGATTCTACAACAACCAGTGCATTTTAATCAATTTTAAAGTACTACACCTAATTATGAAATTTATTGATGATATAGAGGAAGAAGGGAATTAACTATTCAATTCTTACCTATTACTACTTTAGAATAATTGACAATGGGGAATTTTATATACCTGAGTTCAAGAATAAGTGATTTGTAAAGAACCCTAGGTTTTCCGTTGACTGCGTGCGTGACTTATTCGCTGCTTCTATTTCTTACTTCCGTGTGTGCGTGCTTTCCCCTGTAAAATTGTTTCTTAAGTTTTTGTGTTTGTTTTGACTTTCATCAAGGCTTTATGCCTTTGGTTTGTTTTGGTCGTGAGGCAGAGGAGTGATATATGGGCTTTAAGCCCAAATTCTTAAAAGCTTAGTTTGTCCCCCCCCCCTTTTTTTGATACTCACTTTTAATGATTAATAATATAAAAAAATATTAATATTTTCCTTAATTGTATGTCCAATTATTTATAAATAGAAAAGTAATTCAAAATCAATCACAAGAATTTAAATATGTAATAGAAGTATAATTTAAGATTATAAAAATTAAATTCTATATCTAGGGTGTCTTGAAACTTTTTATAAATTTGAGGAGTGTTACAATCTTCCCTCCTTAAAAACATTCATCCTCGAATGTTACTAGGGCCTTTTTCTTAAGCTAACAATTATTCCGTAAGTCCTTGAACCTCTTAAGTTTTCTTAGCACTACTCACTTTTCCAAGGGGCTCAAAATTTTGGCAACTCCCTAAATTTTCAAAAAATTCAGCAGAGTTTCCCTTGTAAATTGGACTATCCAAAAGTATCCCTGTCACAAATACCTCAACTACACCAACAACAACCAAATATACTATATTAGGCCATTCATAGGCACCATACACAGCTCAAAAATTAATTACTCATACTCCGGCAAGGAGGTACCACAATAACTAACAAGAATCTAAAGCACAACACTTTAGCAAAAGTAAATCACTTTAATGAATTAAATATACTCTGACATAAACTAATTCACTAAGACAACTAAATATAATCTAGGAAGGACATAAACACTTGCTAACTTGTAATTAATAAATGGAATATAAATGTAAAACCGAACTTAGGTTCACATACCTTTTTCCTCAAATAAATATGGATATTTCTTTCTCATATCTTTCTCGACCTCCCATGTAGCCTCTTTTGAATCATGATTACTCCACAAACTTTTACCGATGCTAAATCTTTTGTTCTCAACTTTCTTACTTGCCTATCGAGAATTTCTATAGGTACCTCTTCATAAGTCAAGCCTTCTTTAATTTCTATAGTATCAGCAGGTATTATATGCGACTAATCATGAATGTACTTTCTAAGCATAGACACATGAAAGATAGGATGAACAGAGGACAACTCAACGGGTAGCGCTAGCTTATAAGCCACATTTCTTTTCTTTTCTAGAATTTCATAAGGTCCGATAAATCTAGGGCTAAGTTTCCCTTTCTTAACAAACCTCATAACTCCTTTCATCGGTGAAACTTTCAAAAACACCTTATCACCAACCATGAACTCTAAATCATGATGCCTCTTGTCAGAATAAGATTTTTGACGACTCTGAGCCGCTTTAAGTCTTTCTCTAATTAGCTGAACTTTTTTCAAGGCCTCACAAACAAACTCTAGACCAATCAACGGCACCTCTGCTGGTTCAAACCAACCCACTGGAGACCTACATCTCCGCCCATACAACGCCTCATAGGGAGCCATACCAATGCTGGCCTGATAGCTGTTATTGTAAGCAAATTCTATAAGTGGCAAGTGATCATCCCAATTACCTCCAAAATCTATAACACACGCACGCAGCATATCTTCGAGAGTCTGAATGGTCCTTTCTGCCTGGCCATCGGTCTGTGGATGAAAAGCGGTGCTTAAATTGACCATGGTACCTAATCTTTTCTGAAATGCCTGCCAAAAATGCGCCGTAAACTGAGGGCCTCTGTCAGATATGATTGAAACTGGAGTACCATGCAGTCGGACTATGTCTTTGATGTACAATTGCGCATACTGCTCTGCGGAGTCTATCGTCTTTACTGGTAGAAAATGCGCGGACTTTGTCAGTCGATCTACAATAACCCAAATTGAATCATGTTTACGGTATGTGCGAGGTAGACCTACTACGAAATCCATATTAATCATCTCCCACTTCCACTGTGGTATCTCTATGTCTTGAGCCAGGCCACCAGGCCTCTGATGCTCGGCTTTGACTTGCTGGCAATTTAAACATTTAACCACGTGATCTGCTACTTGTTTCTTCATGGCTTTCCACCAATACAAATCTTTCAAATCTAGATACATTTTGGTAGCACCTGGGTGGATAGATTACCTCGAACTATGAGCTTCCTCCATTATGGCCTTCCTAAGACCATCTACATCAGGCACACAT